CCCACAGGACTACAACTTTAAAAACACTCTCTTGAACTAAACAAGGAAATTAACTGAACAAACTACAGAGGCTAAGCCATGCAGGTAGCTTCAACTCTGCCTGAGATCACCTGATGTAAAACTCACAAGCCTGATGGCCTGCTACACATAGCTCTGAGGCTCACATCTAGGAAGGAATAATCTTGGTGCCCAAAATCCTGAGGTCACTTCTGACCTGAAATTATTTTGCAATGTTGCATATAAGATAAAAAGCTGTATTATGATAAGGGCAAGCTTTTGAGTTGTCCAGAACAGTTCATCAAACAAAGATGATACAGTGGACCCTTGACTTACAGACGGCTTGACTTACAGACTTTTTGAGTTACAGACTTCTCTGGCCACAAAATTTAGGTTTGACTTGCAGACTGAGATTTGACTTACAGACCAGAAAAAAACCAAAATGGAACAAAAACAGCCTGTTACGGGATTAATCGGTTTTCAATGCACTGTAGCTCAATGGAGTCTTGACTTACAAACTTTTTGACTTGAGAACCGCCTTCCAATACGGATTAAGTTCTCAAGTCAAGACCCCACTGTATCAAACTTGGGGTTCGGGCAGAAAGCCCAAATCCTGGACCAGATGTGATGTCCATGGCTAGGAATGTAAAACAGGGATCTGTGAGACAGAGATGACAGAGAGACTAAACTGCATGTTCTCCATCTCATGGAACAGAAAATGACAGCCTGCCCATGGCTCCAGACCCCTGTTGTAAGTTCGAAGCAGAAAAACACAAAGTTGGAGTCGGTCTTCACACCAACCAAACATGAGAACAAACCGAGGCATTATACTATGTTAGAAGTCAATCAAATCCAATTGGTAGTCATACCTAGTAATCAAAAGAGGATCAAATCATCACTAAAGTGCAGTCTTGTTGAAAAGCTATTCCCATGGCAAAAGAATTCATCCCATTTTTTATGTCCAACAGCAGATACAGAAGGCAAACAAAAAAACAGCCATGTGAGCCTTTCACAGAAGCAAAGTTCTGCCTCACCTAGAACTGTGGCTCTATGAATGAATCACATGGCTGCTGCTGATCTGTGCTGTCCTGAACAGAACGCCTCAATATATATGAATAAGGCACTTGTGTCAGCTATACAATTTACAAACAATTCACAAATGAGCTTAAGGCAGGTTACCAGATGCTTAATTACAGGAAGACAATTCCAGTGATTGAGCAAATAACCTCACCTGTCCAACTCTCTGAGCCCAACATGCTGGCTATAGCTTTGGGCTGGGTTACTCAAATGTAACTTCTGGACCAAGTGAGCAACGCTCAGAAACACATACAGGGTGAGATGAAGAATACCAAATGCATAATGTATATATGGTCCTGTAAAAGTGTAAAAAAAAGATAGAAGCACTACAAACTTTTGGGAGGGTGGGGTGGTAAGGTAGGTTTCAAGAGCTGAAACACTCCAGGAACAAGGAAACCCGTTAAAGAGCCATAAACCGCTGCGGGTCCTCTAAAGCGGTGGTCCCCAACCTTGGGCCTCCAGATGTTCTTGGACTTTAACTCCCAGAAATCTTGGCCAGAAGAGGTGGTGGTGAAGGCTTCTGGGAGTTGTAGTCCAAGAACATCAGGAGGCCCAAGGTTGAGGACCACTGCTCTAGAGTGAACGAGGGACTGCTGAGACACCCCTCTGTCTTTCCCACAATATGGGGCATCACAGCTGTCGCCTAGTGTACAAATCCCTGGGCAACATCTACACCAATGGGTTCTTTAAGCAGTCTCCCAGACATGGGGCTGCTACGAGTGAGCACCCAGATGCTGGCGGAAGGTCCGAACGGGGATCCATGGATTCTACTCAACAATGGATGTGTTTTGTCGTTTCATGGCAGGTTTAACGGACACAGGTTGATGCTGCTTTGCGTGTATAGTGAGAAAGCAGCCCCAATTAACCACTATGAATTAAAATAAAATTCAGCCAATAACTGGCACACGTCCTGCCAGCTGACAACACTCTACCCAATGCAGAGGGAAGCCAAGATAAGAGGCCAGGATGACATGAGATGGGACCACTCTTCAACTCACGCCGGAGACCTTCCGGGAAAGCTCCTCGCCTGGCTGGTTTTGCTCATGGCGGTGGATCCAGGCCATTAATTCGCTGGATGCCGTCTCGGTTCTGTTCTTTGACAACGTGGCTGTGACATGCCAGCGGGCTGGTTGTGGGACAGGCCCTTCTACTCCCCCCCCCAAGAGGCAAGGGGCCCATCCACCCACGGACCACCACTGACCCCAAGCATGGCCCGAGTTTGGCTTCGAGGCCATCCACCTGGCTCCTGTCCAAGCACCAGCTGGGCCAGAGGTCAAGGGCCACAGGGTCACCTGCGTGGGGGGGGCTCTGAGGGAGAAGCAAGGGGGGGCCCTGGCCTGCCAAAACTCAAAAGCCAGAGCCAAGCCTGTGGATGAGAAATCAATAGGGCAGGGCTGAAAAGGGGTGGGTGGCCCGAGTTTGGCTTCGAGGCCATCCACCTGGCTCCTGTCCAAGCACCAGCTGGGCCAGAGGTCAAGGGCCACAGGGTCACCTGCGTGGGGGGGGCTCTGAGGGAGAAGCAAGGGGGGGCCCTGGCCTGCCAAAACTCAAAAGCCAGAGCCAAGCCTGTGGATGAGAAATCAATAGGGCAGGGCTGAAAAGGGGTGGGGGTGGGGATGAGGAGGGCCGCCCG